CCCACGAGTCCGAGTGAAGAATTCTGGTCTTTTGTTTACAATTTTCACTGCACACCTGTTCTCGGAGTACATGACCAGCTACACTGCTGTGAAGACGTTTTGTATGTTTGTGCATCCATTTGAAGCTGATGTTTTGATCTCTGTCTTGCATTGATCTTGTCTCCCCACCTTCTCTCATTTTCTTCCTCTCCATCTTTCCCACAATTTTCTCCCAATTCTCCTCTCCCTGTTTCTGCATCTTACTCTCTCTCTCATCTTCCAACTTGTGACCTCACATCCCTGCTTCTCTGGCTCCCTCCCCCCTCCTCTTTCTCAGCGTCAGTACAACGAGCAGCTGCAGCTCTTGCAAAGTGGTCAGCAGCTGGACAGTCTGCCCCCAGTGACCCCGCCTGCCCTCCCGCCGGTCCCCACGGTGAGTGTCGGGGAGTCCGTCCTGCTCTTCATCCGGCCAGTGCCTTCCTGTGGCCCACACTTCATAGCCAAGTTACGCATTTGGCTAGAAAGCCAAATCACACATTTATAAGGTCCTCATCTGCATTCGGCAATGGCTCTTCCTTGACGTTTCCGTTTCAAGCGCACGCTCTTGTGGGAAATCCCTCATCCAGAGAGCAGGGGACGGGTCTTGTGGAGTTTCAGTCTCCTTTGAGCTCAGTAAGTTCAGCAGTGCGACTCTGGGTCAAAGGCTCAGAAAGAAGTATGCTTCACACCTGGGTGTTGGTCCTGTCCTTAGAGCGATGTCTACTCTCAACACCTTGCAGCTGTCAGCAGTGAGCAGCAGTTAGAGTCCTGGACTTATAATTGGAAGGTTGTGCTTCAAGTCTAGGATGAGACACTGCCGCAGTTCCCTCGAGCACATATTTTCCCTGACTTCCTTCGGTAATATATCCAGGTGTTTTACAGGTTACACTATTACATGGAAATACAAGTTGCTTTGAACAAACATAAGATAAATTAGTCATTAATCGTACGAGCTGATTGCCAGATGTTCCGGTATGCATGTGTGAGTCAGGCATGAGTGATGGGCTGATTTCTGAAAAGATCACACCTCTGATTGTCTCTGATTTCTGATCCAGGTTGAGATGAAGATCCATGCGATGATGCAACCCCAACACCCCACTGTTGCCATGGGCGTTAAACCACCCCCCCACGTCCAGCCGCAGGCCCCCGCTGCCACCCCCTCTCTCTTTTCCACGGCGATACCCTTCGCAGTGCCACAGCAACCACTGGCCGGCGCCCAGAGGGTCCCCCAGCCGGCCCCCGGCCCCGCCAACACCCCGAACCCCACGTCACAGCCCGCGGGCAAACTGGAGCAGCTGCTGGAGAAGCTGAGGGCGCGATTCCCGCAGTGCAACAGGTAGGCGCACTCCGCTGCAGAAATGCCGTGTGGCCGATCTGCTGGCGATGAGGGAGCGGGCCCTGTGTCTGGAAGAGGTGTTAGTGGGGCCAGCAGGGGGCCCTCACCCTGCGGTCCATGTGGGTCCTAATGCCCCAGTATAGTGACGGGGACACTACACTGTAAAAAGGCACCGTCCTGCAGATGAGACGTAAAACCGAGATCCTGACTCTCTGTGGTCATTAAAAATCCCAGGGCTTTTCTCGAAAAGAGTAGGGGTGCTACCCCTGTGTCCTGGCCAAATTTCCCATTGGTCCTTACCAGTCATGGCCTCCTAATAATCCCCATCTCTGAACTGGCTTCACTGAGAGCTGGTGTGTGGGAAGAGTACTGGAGCATCATCCAGGTGGGGCTGCACACTGGTGGGGGTGGAGGGGATCCCCATGACCTGTAAAGAGCTTTGAGTGGAGTGTGCAGAAAAGAGCTATAGAAGTGTGATGAATTATTATTATTAAGATTCAGTCTACACAGGCAAATAAAAAGACTGATCCTCTCTTCTGGGGGATTCAGTAGGCACCGGGTGCCACTGTTAGTTGAGCATAAGTGTGCATACCAGTATAGTGTTTAAACACTAATCTGCACGTTTAGGGTGTGAGGCTGCCTGCACTCTTGTGTCCTGGGTTCAGTTCTGGCCCGGAATGCATGTTCTCCTCATTTTGCTTGGGTTCTCTTCAGGTGCCTCTCTTTCCTCCCCACCTTCCAGAAACATACTGGTGTGGAGCAGCAAGGATCGTCTTTGTTGTTGGGAAGGACAGTAAATAGTTAAAGTGAATATTTTGTGCGGTGATGACTATGGCCTCAGTGGACATCTTGCTTACAAGCCCAGGTGTGTCCTGGTTACGTTGCTAGACTGAGTTTTCTCCAGTACTGGAACTTATAAACTACACGCGTGCTGCGGTATTCTATGTAGTAACTCTCTAAAGCAAAGACTTGATATTTTAACAGACAAAAAGAACATGATCAGACACAGCGGATGGAGGCCGAGAGTCTTTCTCTTGTCTGTTCACGACATGCAGCCACGTGCTATCGAGAGAACTGAGTCTGTCTCTGGAGGCCTTTGTGAAATAAAGTATTGTAGCTGTTGGTACAGTGCAGCTCTTCTGTGGAATAAGAGGAGCTTCAATCTTGCACTGTAAGCTGCTGGCCTGGTTAGCTGGTGTCTAAACCCATGTGTGTGCATATCCAGGGTGCGGTGATTCTGAGAGGCTCTAACCAAGAATAACATTAGATGGTCGAACACATTTGCCCTGGGATCTGCAGGCTGTAATATGTGTGTGTCTAACACAGCAGTGCCTGTACAGACAGGCAGCTATAATCTCCTTCCCTCCTGGTCTCCCTGGCTGTGCCCTCTCCTGCGCCCCAGCTCCGATCCTCAGCCCCTCTCTCTCTCTGTCTGCAGGTCTCAGCTGACCGCAGTGCTTCAGCAGATTAAGATGTCCAGAGGCACCATGGCAGGCCTCTCCATGGAGGAGCTGACGCAGCAGGTGGCACAGAGACTGGCACAGAGCGAGACACCCAGACAGGTAACTCTCACAGAGATTGGCATAGAGAAACAGGTGGCTCTCACAGAGACTGACACCCAGACAGGTAACTCTCACAGAGACTGGCACAGAGCGAGACGCCCAGACAGGTAACTCTCACAGAGACTGGCATAGAGAAACAGGTGGCTCTCACAGAGCGAGACGCCCAGACAGGTAACTCTCACAGAGACTGGCACCTAGACAGGTAACTACAGGTAACTCACTGAGACTGGCATAGAGAAACACGTGACTCACAGAGACTGGCATTCAGACAGGTAACTCTCACAGAAACGTGCACTCAGACAGGTAACTACAGGTAACTTTCTCAGAGACTGGCACCCAGATGTGTAACTCTCAAAGACTGGCACCCAGACGGGTAACTCTCACAAAGACTGGCACAAATTGAGAGGCACACAGAAAGATAGCTCTCATGCTCCCTCACAGACGCCTGCACAGAAAAGCGTGTGCAGACAGGTAGCAGAGACACTGAAACACAGGTTTGGGGCAGGTAGGACAGATAAAGCCGCCTTCTCCTAATTTAGCTTTGTTAAAGCTAATTTAGACATGAATCCTGTTTCCTTTTTTTTCAGTCTCATGGTCCAATCGGGCCTCCCTCTGCCACAGCCAGGACCTTTCCCAGCTCAGCGCCCCAGGCCCATGTCACAGCTCACCTGCCTCACAGATCACCCGCACCCCAGGCCATCTTCAACACCAGGCCTCCTGTGGTAAGAGTGCACATGTGCCCCCTGCTGGCCATCAGTGGAGCAGCGCTGAACCTTCCCCCTCCCCTCATGTAGCCGATTGTGTGCAGGAGTGTGTGCTGGTGTCCCGCACGCGTGTCAGCAGGACTGTCTCCCTCCTCACAGGCGGCCCGGCCCAGCAGCAGGAAGCTGTGTCTGGTGTGTCAGAACCAGGTGGAACCCGGGACCCAGCAGGTGTTGAGCTGCACCCATGTCGTACACAAGGAGGTGAGTGAGGGGTTTTTGGGGTGGCTGGGTTTGTGGGGCTGCAGGCGGGGC